GTACTTTTTTGGGCGCTCGAAATTCTTCCTGGTGCCCAAGGCATGGTAGGTTGGAGCATCATAAGTCTATCGGCGGCGAGCGCGGGGGGGAAATGAGAAGGGGCGGGGTCTTCTCAGAAGGTTCGGAAGTCCCCCGGGCCTCCTGAGAAGTTTCCTGAGCCTTCCCCGAAGACAAGCAAAACTTCTCAGAAGGCGCGAGGACTTCTGAGAAGTCCCGCCGCCTTCTGAAAAGGCCTTCTTCTTCTCATTTCCCCCCCTCGCTCGCCGCCGAGTCTAGTTGATGTGACAGCGGGCCGCTGCCGCCAGTGTCAGAACGAGGCGCCCCTTCTGTACCAGGCTGTTCCCGAGCATGCGGTCTCGTAAGTGGTGGACTGTGCCTCGGTGGCCGTCGCTGGATGGACCTGTTGCCACCGGCGCGCTGTTCCCCTGAGATTCTGAAGACGAAGCCAGGGCGAGGATAACCTTGGGTGAGGATAAATCGAGAATCTCTGAGAGCAGGCGGCTCTGGTGGATGTCTCGGGCGCCGCGGCCTCCTCAGAGCGGTCCGGAACGCTCTGAGAAAGTCCCCGAACGCTCTGGAACGCATTTATCGATGATTATGAGAACGTGTGTTAGCGACAACGTCGTCGTCGCCCTTCTCCTCGTCGTCGTCCCCCACCTCCTCGTCGTCGTCGTCCTCCTCCTCCTCTTCCAAGGTTTATGTTGTGAAGATCGCCACGCTGAACGGCGCTCCGGCGCCACACCCGCCGCACCCTAGTTGGTGCCAACGCGCGGGAGTGTCTGTCAGTGTCTGTGTTAGCGACGACGTGGGTCTGTCCTTCGAGACCATTCACTGGGATGCCGGCGATGTAACGCTCTACTGGTGGGGCTGAACGGCGTAAGCACACACATTCAGCTACAGTGCGGGCGCGGCCGCAGGAAAGCCTCGCAAGAAACCCGACCCTGAGAACCCGTGCGCGAGGTGCACCTGAGGAGATACCTGGAGCGCCCTGAACGCAGCAGCCCCCCCCAACGCCTGCGTGGAGTCACCGCGCAGCGCGAGGAACGGAGAAACCCAGGGTACCCTGACGAATTGCAGATGGTTTCTCGATGCACGCCCACACTGTAACACACGTCTTGAGGATCATCGACTTCATCCTCGTCGTAGTCCGGCCCGGCGACGTCGCTGCTCCCCTGAGATCCTGCCGTTGTGACTCTGTCGCGCCGCGCGTTTTCGCCCGGTTTCGGGCCTCGGGGCCGTCACGTATCGATCCCACTTGAAGCATACCGCAAAGAAAGTTGGAGTCTGGCGCTCCCGTCGTGACTTTTCGGGACGTTGCCAGGAGGAGGAGGAGGAGGAGGAGGAGGAACTGGGAACTGTGCATGAGCGACAACAGAAGTCGCATGGGAGGAGGAGGAGGAGGAGGAGGAGGAGGCAGAGGAGGCAGAGGAGGAGGCGGAGGAGGAGGAGGGGGAGAGGCGGGAGGAGTGGAAGGCGGAGAAGAGGAGGGGGAGGAGGAAGAGTCCTTCGCCTCTTCGCCCACGTCGCAAACCTCAGGGTTTCGGGCGCTAGCTGAAAAAACGTGCCCCTACCTTTTCGCTCGAACTTTCTGAGCCCCCCTCCTCCTCCTCCTCCACCTCTCCCACCTCCTCCTCCTCCTCCTGCCTCCTCCTCCTCCTCCTCCTCCTCCTCCTCCTCCTCCTCCTCCTCCTCCTCCTCCTCCTCCTGCTCGCGAGGAGGGGTGCCCTGAAGTCGTTGGAAGGCTGGGGTCACATTGGGCCAGTGCCACCCCTGGCAGCACCCAGGCGTTGCTTCCCCCCACTTCGGTCCCGCGGACCTCTCGCCCGTCGCTCGTTATCCCTCGTGCTGTCTTCGTTCAGCTTGTGTTGCAAAACGAGGTCGAAACGAAAACGGCCCACGAAACCGCCAAAACACCGCTCAGGTCGAGCCCTGGGAGGTAAAACGTCGAGATGGAGTCGGCGATGCATCGCCGAGAGATCCCCGATAGCGAATCCGCACGCTTCTGGGCGGGATGCGCTATCGGGCCCCTACGGGCGATCAATGGGCTATTGGGGGCCGCTGAATCTCCCCCCGAGCCCATCCCCTTCTGAGCTTGACGCAGTAACCTGAGGGTACAACAATCGTCATCGCTAAGACTGGTCTTGCCCAGCGGGCTCTTCAATCTGCCTGGGCAGCAAGGGGCAGCGGTGCGCGAGCAATTCTGCAGTCCGAATGCCGAGGCAGAGAAATCCCCAAGGGCTTGGCTCTTCACGGCTCCAGAGCCCGCGGGCACGTGCAAACGTTTGCTTCACTTGGCGGCGCGCACAACGGGGTGGGCGGACGGGGGACGGCTTCTCAGAAGGAGGTTGCTTCTGAGGAGGCGCTGGCCTGACAGCTACAAGCAAGGCCCGCTCCTTCCAAGAAGCAGGGCTGCTTCTACGAAGCTTTTCACCCTCCTCCTCCTCCTCCTCCTCCTCCTCCTCCTCCTCCTCCTCCTCCTCCTCCTCCTCCTCCTCCTCCTCCTCCCCCCCCCCACCCCCTCCCCCTCCCCCCCACCTCCTCCTCCACCTCCTCCTCCTCCTCACCTCCTCCTCCTCCTTCCTCCTCCTCACCTCCTCCTCCTCCTCCTCCTCCCCTCCTCCTCCGCCGCCTCCTCCTCTCCTCCTCCTCCTCCTCCTCCTCCTCCTCACCCCTCTCCCCCCGCCCCCTCCTCCTCCTCCTCCTCCTCCTCCTCCTCCTCCTTCCTCCTCCTTCCACCTACCCCTCCTCCTCCTTCCATTCCCCTCCTCCGCCTCCTCCTCCTCCTCCTCCTGCCTCCTCCTCCTCCTCCTCCTCCTCCCTCCTCCCTCCTCCTCCTCCGCCTCCTCCTCCTCCTCCTCCTCCTCCTCCTCCTCCTCCTCCTCCACCCTCCTCCTCCTCCTCCTCCTCCTCCTCCTCCTGCGCGTGGCCGATCCACGGCGCGAAGGCCCGCGGGCACGCGCACGCGCTCGCTCCACCTGGCGGCTCGGCGCACCACGAGGGTCCCGGGCGGCGTGGGCCGTGGTGGCCCTCCCGAGCAGGCGAGGGGAAGGGGGGCGAGGAGGAGGGGGAGGAGGAGGAGGAGGAGGAGGAGGAGGAGGAGGAGGAGGAGGAGGAGGAGGAATGCGCCCTTCCAGGAGAAGGCGTGCGAGAGGGCGTCGGCGGCGGAGGGGGGCGGCGACGAGGGCGGCACCCCTGGCCGGCGACCTTCGACCTCAACACACCCCGAGAGGCTGCTTCGTGGACCTCCTCCGGGGCTCAGTCCGGGCCCCTTTCTCTCCAGCCTCTTGTGGGGGGGGGGGAGGACGGGGGCGGAGCGTGCGGCACCACGGCGTAGCACCACCGTGATGCAGTCCTGGGAACACTGCCAACGGTAAGATGTGTCCCCGCCATGGCCAACGACAGCGGAACAGAGGAGTCGTCCAGCAGTCCTACCGCCAGACCGTTCTCGCCCGTTCGCCCGTTCCTCCCAAGCGGAGGGCTGATTTATCGAGCTGCGCCCACCGACCTGAATCCATCCCTCAATTGGGTACATCGGTGGGCCGACCACAAGAAACCTTCCACAAGAAACCCAACCCTGAGACCCCAGGACGTCCGTTGATTTTTGGTGTGGGAACGTTGCGCTTTCCATGGCAAAACCATCGACACCCAAAAAATCCAGGGCAACCTCCAGGAAAGCAGGGTGTATCTTGGCATGGGATCCCACTGTACTCCGACGCTGCACTTTTGTGCGTGACGTCGGTCCCGGGTCTGGGATACGGCCCCAACGGGCGTCGCATGGGCAGTAATCGAGTAACCGAGTATGGGCAATAATCGAGTAACGAACTGCATGAGCATATCAACCGAGTAGTAATCGAGTAACCGAGTATGGGCGTCGCATGGGCAGTAATCGAGTAACCGAGTACGCGTCGCATGCGGCCAACGCATGGGCAGTACTCGAGTAACAAACTGCATGAGCATATCAGCTTTCGGAGGCCCGCGCGGGTTCCTTAGATCGGCGCTGTGCTGGACCTCCCTCCCCGCGCGCCAGGGGCGGCGCTGGGGGCGCCGCTAAGGGGTCCAGCCCAGCGCCCATCCGAGAGATCCGCGCGGGCCTGCGAGAAGTGTATCTTCGGCAGTCGGCCTGGAGAATCTTGCAAGTGCAAACTTTACCACACGAACCGATCTTAGCCACCAAGAATTGGGCGTTGGCAGAACTGGGTTTAGTGGGACCTGGTTTAGTGATGTGTACTGGGGGACGCCCCCCCCGCCCCGTTCCACTGACCGGAACTGCCGTCATCCGAAAAACACCAGCTACGACAGACCTGGTTTAGAGATTCTGGCCAATTTAGGGGCTCCGGGTCCCCTTACCTGGGGTCCTGGCTATACCCGAGACAATGTATCCTTATGTTTTTGATGTGTCTTCGAAATGGAGCAGAGAGACGAGGCGGAAACAAACCGGAGGCGACACCGCTCGAATGACGCGTCGAAGCGAGATTGCGCGCAAGCCGCACGCCGAATGCCCAATATCGGAGCGGATCGGCGACGCAACAACTTCTGGACAAACAAAAACCGAAAAACTTGGAAATCTGATATTTCTTGCTTCGGGCAAACACAAAATCGTTGCGCCAATCCGCTTGGGGGACGCAACTTCATTTGGGGATCTTCTGACCTGGGTCAATCCAAACCTGGAGTCAGTCAAGCCTTGC